ACCACCACCACCTCACCACCACCTCACCACTACCACCACCACCACCTCACCACTACCACCACCACCACCACCACCTCACTACTACCACCACCACCACCACCACCTCACTACTACCACCACCACCACCACCACCACCTCACCACTAACCACCATTTCACCACTACCACCACCACCACCTCACCACTACCACAACCACCTCAACACTAACCACCATTTCACCACTATCACCACGAGCGCCTCAATGTGGACACGCATAAAGACCACTCAGTGCATTCCTTTATAAACCAACTCCCGCCAGCAGTTTGAATTGAGGTGGCAGCAACAAATTAACAGTATCCACTGTTTAATGAACCAAGGCGGAGGTGAGCTTCGTAGCCCAGCATCTGGTCGCCTGCAAAGAGGATCTGATCTGTTGTTTTAATGTAAATATAAAATGGAAGGAACTTCCCTTTTATATTTACTCCCTTCACGCTGGCAGCGGTGTGAGCGTAAGCCTCGTTATAAGGCAGCAACAGTGACTGCTTTGTGCGCGCACCCGTTACTGCTGTTGTGTGAGAACACGCCTAGCTGTGCTCACCTACTTATGGTTTCGCGGGGTTGGGCTCCATCTCTTTGGTCCTGCCTTGCTAGCCCGTCCTAAGGTTCCCCAACGTCAAGAAACTGTCGTACTAAAGTGCCCTTATCGTAACCTATCAGAGGACCCAAAACAGAAATCGGGAGAGTATGTCACTTTCGTGAGTCGCTACCATTTTCTAGTACGACGATTTTTGGCCTTATGTAACGTATGCGTCAAAATGCGACGTTCTATTAGAAGGACGGGATGAGGGACGAGGTAGCTCAAGCTGTTCTCACCCCGTTCAGAAGAACGTGTTCATATATACACACATCACAAACAAGCAACATATTATCGAATATTCTGGTTAATAAACATATACATTTCTTCCTTTACACATGCAGTATGATACCAGACGTACACACAAATACTTTTATGACTAGGTACGCAGACAGAAGTTGCAATAGGCATTCACACATATCAGCAAGAGGTTACAATCTTGGTGCAAAATTCTTTTATCTCTCCAGAATATCATAAATTTTTCCGTTGTGACACATCCAGGCTAATTGTTCAGGAACAGTCCTTATCTCAGTGTTTCTATATACATTAATCAACGGACAATCAAGAACATAATGAGTGAGGGTGTGAGACCTTAACATACCACATAGCTTACACTTGGTGTTATTATCATTAACACCTATTCCATATTGCCAGTAATATTTGTACCTAAGCCTGAGCCGCATGTGTACAGAGTCACTCCAAGCATTTCTCCTTTTACCATAAGTGAAATGGGTCACATATATGTAGTGTTGCATGGGTTGTCTTCTCTCATACAGTATACCCCTCCTCGCCTCTTCTGCCTGTCCCTGAATATTTCTTATTTTGCTTCTTATTTGTCTCATGGTTAAAACACATTCAATGTTAACTTGTTGTCTGGATGTGGCGCGTTTGGCCAGTTCATCCGCCACATGAATTTCACTTTGTGAATTTTTAGCTTTATCTCATGTCTCCATTTATTACACTCCAGCTATGGGCATGAAGAGTAGATTTCGACTGTTTAATGATTCAAGTGTTCCTCGTCCATCGATAAATACGAAGACATCATCTTCAACACCTGGATAAGCGTAATACGCTTCCCGCCTTCCATACTGACACTTAACGAATGTGTGCTCGCGCCCAGGAGTGTATAAGGGTATATAGGTATGCGCTAGTATGAGTGTGTATGCGTATGCATATGCGCTAGTGTGTGTGTGTGTGTGTGTGTGTGTGTGTGTGTGTGTGTGTGTGTGTGTGTGTGTGCATATAAGGGGTGTACATGGATGCGCGAGTGTGTGTGTGTCATGGTGAAGAGGTATGCACTAGCATATATGCGTTTGAGGGTGTATACATATGCGCTAGTGTGAGTGCGTTTAAGGGTATATGCGTATGCGTTAGTATGATAGTGTGTAAGGGTAGTGTGCCAGGTAGTGTGTTAGAGCGTGCATGGGTATATGTACGTGTGAATGCGTGCACTCCCCGAAGAGTGCGAGTGCGTGTGCACGCTCTGGAGTGTGTGCGCGAACGCTCTCAAGTGCGCGAGAGTGACACTTGTTCATCAAATGCACATTGGCTGCCAGCCACATAGGATGGAATTCAATTCGGAGAGCAATTGGATTCTTCAGAGAATTGTCCTCTGCTGCTGCGCTGGCCAGAGCCACACTCAGCATCGGTGCAATTCTGTTCAAACAATGAAGTTGTTTTGGTGTTGACCTTTTGCAAGAATTCACGCTATCTAAAACACACCTGTGAGCCCCTGATAACGGAAGGTTATTGCTTGGTAATTGTTCCCATTTCCTTGTGGTGCGCGAAAATATACGCATGCACGTGCGTCCAATCGCACGCATGCAAGACCGTCCAAACGCACGCATGCACAAGCGTCCAAACGCACGCATGCAAGACCGTCCAAACGCACGCATGCACAAGCGTCCAAACGCACGCAAACAAGACCGTCCAAACGCACGCATACAAGACTATCCAAACACACGCATATAAGACCGTCCAAACGCACGCATACAAGACCATCCAAACACACGCATACAAGACCGTCCAAACGCACGCATGCAAGACCGTCTAAACGCACGCACGCATGCAAAACCTAAACGCACGCACGCAAAATCTTTCGAACGCATGCACGTAAATACGTAAATGTGTCCCCCCCCCTCCCCCTCATCGCAAGTACCCACTTGGTCTTGTAAAGTTTTATTGATTAAAATTATGTTTATTTCTACATATTTATCGACTTATTATATATTTTCAACAATATATTCTATACTTCATGGAATAAACTATTGATGTCTTAATAAATATTGATGATTAAGTTACAGCAATGGACTAGAAAACTTGTGGGCTGTATAAACATTTGTTTATACAAGTTCCATTGACTCTATCTTCCAGAATTGATGTTTAGAGAGATATACTTCCGTGGTCAACAGTGTGTGTGTGTGTGTGCGTATTCACTCACCTATTAGTACTCTCCTATTTATGCCTGCAGAACCCCGGTTTTCTTGCTTGTATTTAATGCAATGACTCCTGACCTATTTCTGTATCATATCTACTTTTAAAGTTGTGAATGGAGTTTGGCTATACAACCTACCCCTTTAAATCATTCCATATTCCCTCAACTCTTACGCTCCAGTAAGTTCGACAGATATTATTTCACTTCCGAAAAGGTATGTTGATGTTTGCTACCTAATTCTCTCGAGGTGTGTGAGTCTGAACATCATTATTCTTTCAAGTATTTTGCAAGGGATGCTTGTGAGTGACACTGGTCTGTAGTTAAGTGCCACTTCTCTATCTCCTTTCTACTAGATTGACACCACATTTGCTTCCTTCTAGCAACTAGGCAATTCTCCCTTTGTAAGTGATTCATTAAAGATGAGTGCTAGAAGTATGCTGAGGGTCTTTGCCTCTTCTTCTAATATTCATAGTGATACTTTAACAAGCCCAATAGCTTTAGTTTGCTAGTGATGCTAGCTGTTTCCTTACTTTGTTGATATCTCAATATTTAATAGTCTCTCGTCAGGTGTTACCTCCTCTTCCAGTACTGTGAGCTGTTCAGGCTCAATTGTGAACACTTCACTGACACTTCGTGTGTACTCACCAAGTTGTGATAGCGGGGGTTGAGCTTTGGCTCTTTGGTCCTGCGTCACAACCATCAATCAACTGGTGTACAGGTTCCTGAGCCTACTGGGCTCCATCATATCTACACTTGAAACTGTGTATGGAGTCAGCCTCCACCACATCACTACCTAATGCATTCCATTTATTAACTACTCGACACTAAACATATTCTTTCTAATGTCTGTATGGCTTATTTGGCCACTCAATATCCATCTCAATTAGATTTTCACTCGAATTGGAAATTTCAAAATTTCAAAATTTCCACACACAATTTGTGTGTGTGCGTGTATGTGTGTGTGTGTGTGTGTGTGTGTGTGTGTGTGTGTGTGTGTGTGTGTGTGTGTGTGTGTGTGTGTGTGTGTGTTTTGGCAGGACGAGCGTCAGCTCTTGAGTCTTTTTTTTTCAGTCGCCAGTCCATTCAGATTCATTAGATGTTATCCCAATTTCTTTTTCTCATTCCTGTTCTTCTAATTACGTATGGAGTTAGTCTCAACTACCTCACTTGTTTCATTCCATTTGTTCCCTGATCTTAAACTGAGAAAGGATTTATTACATCTCTGTGGCTCGTCGGAATTTGTAAGTTCTACCCATGTTTACGCTAAAACTTTTGTTACCATTCACTTTGTCTATATTTCAAAAAATCTTATATGTAGTGGTCATATCACCTTTTTTCCTCTCGTAGCTTAACGTTCATCGACTTGTGATCTAGCAAACCTAGAATGTTCAACAAATTTGGTAGACATTCTAAGTTTTGCTTTTTAGGTGGGAATTCCTCACTGACGCTATACATTATAGTACTCATTTAACTTATGTAGTGTACAATGTTCTGAAAACCCTTGGTAGTCTGTTAAAAATGAACCTCCGATGATAGACTGGGTTATCTTCCATATTATTTTGCCTCGTGACTTCAATGGTTTCCATCCCATCACCGTATGCACCACTATGGTCTTGGAATTGATATGATATATATTTCTACATAGTATACCACTATAAGACAATAGGGAACATATGTATGCTGAGGTCCCCTAAGCCAAGAGCGAGGCAGTTTGCGCGGTCTCCCTACGAATTACTAGCCAGATCCAACGGTGTTTAACCGACTGACCGAGTGACAGAACATCGGGTTGTGCATGCGGGAGCTGATGTGTGTGTGTGAGGAACACATTCTGTGTTCACGTGGGGTTCTCCCGCTACGTATGTATTGTCAGGAGGCCGCTGGTGCGTGCGTGCGTGCGTTCACATGCGTGGTGCGGCCAGCTGGCGAGCGCGACGCGGTAGTAAGTACTGAGCCGAGCTGCCAGTTCGTTGTGCACCTCGCATCCGGCCGGTCGTATTCCCGGCATCCCTTTGCTGCTTGTATTATGGTGACTGCCTCCGGTGCGGTTCATATCTGTAATCAAATCGCCATCGACATTAACGGTGGCTTCGTCCACGGAAGGGATACGGTCCCTGCTGGCAGAACTGGAGATGTCTACCAGTCGAGGCTTGCCTGCCACGCTGCCCAGATCGGAGTCTGAGATCGTTGTCGACTTTACGAGGCCGCCGCCAACTTCCGAGGATGAGATGAGTCACGACTCGCTTAACGAAGTTGAGTTCACCCTTCAGAAGCTCCCAGGAACTTCAAGGAGCAGCTCCAAAAACGCCTTGTATATGGATGACTCTGACGGGGAGGCGTCCAAGTCTCCCCGACGGTCTTACGGTATTAATAGCTCCCTGGATGGCCAGGATACACTAGGCAACACCTCGGAGTGGCGACACAACAGAAGTGAGAGTAACACCTCCAGGGGCTCCATCAAAGTCGTCACGGACAACAGGAGAAAGCGCCGGACCCTTGGCAGAGAGCTGAGCGGGAACACCTTCTCTCCCACCAGCTCTCCGGCCTACTCCTTCCGCAGCACCATTGACCTCCTGCCCTCCTCCAAGAAGCGTCGAGGACTCAGACAACAGGTAGTACTGTCAGGGAGGTCACCCAGCACACACTTGTTCCATTTGGACCCGTGGTCTGTTCCAGCGCTATGCTTGTCTGAGCAACCTGCCCACTTACCTAACACATCGCATTTTTTATGATATTGATCAATCCATTCAAAATTCGAAGTATTAGTAAAAAATACCATCAAATTGACGTTTTCAGTGCATCCGCTTCAGTAGGTTAGGTTGAGTGCTTGCATTTGTGCGTTTCTGATTTCGCATTGTACTGTAGTTGAATAATTTCAAATTGTAGTTGAATTTTGGCTAATTGAGAGAAGAAGGGTATGTGTGTAGACTGGTGTTGTAGTGGTTTACCGGCGATGCTGTGTACTGTGTCGTATGGTATACATGTAGACGAGTGATATTTTAATTATCTATGACCGTTTATTTTTTATTCACAATTAATGAGTAGCATTGGGATATTTATTTTCTTCTGTGGCCTATATAAATTCATCCCCATGAGACCATTATAGCCTTAATGGGTATATTATGACCTTAATGGGTATATTATGACCTTAATGGGGAAAGTTATGACCTTAATGGGGTATTATGACCTTAATGGGATTATTATGACCTTAATGGGGGAAGTTATGACCTTAATGGGTATATTATGACCTTAATGGGTATATTATGACCGTAATGGGTATATTATGACCTTAATGGGGAAAGTTATGACCTTAATGGGGTATTATGACCTTAATGGGATTATTATGACCTTAATGGGGGAAGTTATGACCTTAATGGGTATATTATGACCTTAATGGGGGAAGTTATGACCTTAATGGGGAAAGTTATGACCTTAATGGGGGAAGTTATGACCTTAATGGGTATATTATGACCTTAATGGGGGAAGTTATGACCTTAATGGGGGTATTATGACCTTAATGGGGAAGTTATGACCTTAATGGGGGGGAAGTTATGACCTTAATGGGGTATTATGAACTAAATGGATAAACTTTGGAGTTAGGATGACTCCGACAACCCTTGTGGCTAGCTAGTAACACTTTACACAGTAGAGGCGACACAGTGGTAGGAAGAGACACTTTACACAGTAGAGGCGACACAGTGGTAGGAAGAGACACTTTACACAGTAGAGGCGACACAGTGGTAGGAAGAGGGAACTGAGTCACACCCAGACACATATTTAAATGCTGTTAGTTTCACATTATTTCGAAGTATAGTTATTATATATTGATTTATTTTTATAAATTAGAATATCTGAGGTAGGAGACCAAAGCCTTAGTGTTGGCATTAATAAAGCGAGTGTCACTTGACACGGTGCCAGTGTCAAGTGACACTGGCACCGTGTCACTTGATAGTGACACTTATATTGTTATTACTTATTACATTGTTATACTTATTATTATTATAGTGACACTTCCAACGAGTCTTGCAGTGCTATATGAACTGGACTCTGAATTATTGTTACTTTTTAGGTTTTTCAAATACAGAGGTTAAGTGCATGCAACACCCCCCTCCCACACCCCTCTTTCTCCACCCCCTTTCCCCCCCCCCCCCCCATAGCACAAGCGCCAGCTGTTGCTTGTGTTAACGATATTTTAAGCGTTTTGTGGCCCTTAAAAGCGTATTAAAAAGCCTGTTTTCTTTTTAACTGTCTCACAGCTGACATACCTCAAAGGCATTAAGCAATAACAAAATTGCGTCTTTTTAATATACTAAACTATACTTAGTAAACTACTTGCTACTTCGTTACTTCTCTTGTGATATTAAAACAACTATCCGAGAAACTAAAGCGCTTTCGTTGTTATTGTTCTTGAATATTTCCGCGTCAGCTGACATGGTCCACATGTCACCAGTGACGTCACGCGTATCACGGGACGACCCATCCTCCTGTTTTGATAGTATGTGTTGTAACCATGTGTTCGCTGGTACCAATAATGGAGCCTAGAAACCCACTTTTTTTAGTTCGGAAAAACTCAAACTAAAAACCCCACTTAAATAGTCTTAGGCCTAATATAGCACATACATGTACTACATTAGGCCTCAGATAGGTGTATTAGGCCAAGGATTGTTGGACTTAGGTTTTATTAGCAATATAAATAAAAAAACTTTCCCGGTTTGTCCAAATTCATTATTACAAAAGTTTACTTTCTGGTGTCTATCACGACATTATTGTACTTTCGATCCCATAGGTACTATCAGTACTGTAATTTGAGGCTGGGCAGTACAGAATCTTGTGCAGGTCCTGTGTTTATCTTGCGTTTATCATCACTATTTTGACGGCTCGATGAGCATATGACGTAATCGCCAGTCCTCAAGAAATTTGGGCTATCTAACGGTTACCAGTTTCTTAGAGATGCGTGTGTGTGTGTATGTATTTACTATTTGTGTCTGCAGGATCGAACTATTATATAAAAACCCGCCCGGATGCGAATAGAACGTTGTGTCAATATTTCAAAGCAATTAGTGGAGAACTTTCCGAGATTATCAATTTTGAACAAACGAACGTTTCCATTTTTATTTATATAGATTACTAATACACATACACACATTTATCCATATGTGTGTGTGTGTGTGTGTGTGTGTGTGTGTGTGTGTGTGTGTGTGTGTGTGTGTGTGTGTGTGTTTGTGTGTGTTTGTGTGGGGGGCGAGAAGTGGGAGACGGTGTGGGGGTGGGGGTACGGGGAGGGAAGGAGGGCAAAATATCACTCTAACAGGATCGCTACAACAGCTGGTCTGACGCCTGGCACCACTACACTCGCGCGCGCACACCACACACACACACACACACACACACACACACACACACACACACACACACACACACACACACACACACACACACACACACACACACACTTGACCACCCGTACTGGTTATAAGTATTTTTTTATATTATTTCCATTCGCTTGCGTGTCCAGCTTGCACATCTGTCCTCTTGCTTTGCTTTCTCAGTTTAAAGAGGATGTCTTTAGCGTCATAGTTTAGCGGTCCAGCAGATAACCTCGCCACTCTCCTCTTTAATTTCTTGACTATTTTCGTCTTCTCTCCTCTCAACCCTCCTGTTCATATTATTTTATTCACATCTTACGTTTTTTCCTCTCCACCAACCTGGCGTCTCCAATTCGCTGGATCGTTTCAAGCTATATCATCTTAGAGAATTCAAGTAGATTTATATGTAAGATGTCCACCCTTTATAGTTGGTAGATACGATAGTTCCATGTCTCTTAACTAGCTTCTCCAATATCTTTAAGGGACTATGTATGGTAGAGACACAGGTACTTCACCCACTGCATACTGACCTATCTCGTTTTGTAGTGTGGGTTCTTAGTTTGCTGTATCCAAGCTGTCACTGTGAGACATTTCTCAATTGAAGCATTGTACATTTTTATTGTGATTTACAAAGGGTCTCGGAGGCATTTTCAAGTTTCCATGGCAAGGGTTTGTCGCATTCTGTTGCTATTAAATGAACAAATCCACAAGGGCCGTGACGAGGATTCGAACCTGCGTCCGAGAGCATCTCAGAGCATTTTGTTCATTTGAGGCATCACGCTATTGTGATTTCTGTGTGTCTGTTGCTGTTGTTTGGGCCATGGGCCACATCCAGTTGATATTTCAGTACTCTCCCTGCTGTCACTTTGATGTCACTCCTGTCACTTCTATGTCACTCATGTCAATTCTATGTCCCCTCCTATCACTGCGACGTCACTCATCCTTTCGCTAAGATGCTTTCCGAGCCCATCATTTGGTTTCCAATCTGTCTAAATGCTGAAAATTTCTTGGAGCCTTTTGGTTATTAACTTTAATACGTCATGTCTCCTAATTTCTTAATATGTTGCGTTTAGTACCTCCATTATGTAGTGTCTGCTAGTTATCTACCGCTGGACGACCATCTCTCTTCCGAAGCCCCATTATCTTATCAGTACGGCGTCTTCCTTCTGGTATTGCTGAGGTAATTATGGGGAGAAAGCGACAAGCCAGTATGGCTATATAGCTGTATTTAAAGAGCCGGGATATGAGGACGGAAGAACGATATCCCAACTACTTGGACCATCGGGAATCGAACACCGACCCTGCATGAAGCTAGGACCATTTCTCCAGCCCTGTTTCTTGAAGCTTTCAAAATATCGTTTGTCAAACTATGAGTTAATGTGTTTTGTTTCTCTTTCTCCTATTGTTAGTGGGCGGGAGGAGCAAATATCTTTCACTTCTTTGAATTTGTGAACGTCCAACCACTTGGGCTAGATGCTAGTAAAATAAAAATAATGCTAGTAAAATGCTAAAGTAATGCTAAAATCCTATTAAAATAACAAAATACTGGAGCGACCGATTAGGTAGAAAATGCACAATAGATCTAGCGAAGAGTAGAGGTGTCATAGGCACAATGAGAGAACACTGTATAAACTTCGGACGGTCATCGTTTAAAAAATGCCTTCCCAGCAAGTATATGAAATTTTGCCAAGAAAAAGTTTATTTTTTTTTCAAGAAAAAATTACATTCGTTCTTGCAAGAAGTGCCGGACTATTGTAGTGGATATGTGGGCCTGCGAGCTGTACAAACAACAGCCTATTGGACCAAATTATCACGAGTCAAGTCTGGCCCCGGGCCTGTCTTTGGTAGTCGAAGAACTCTCAGAACCCACTCTAGGTAGATCCAGGTATAGTTCTCGTGTTCTCTCCCCACCCTTATTGAAGAGTCTCTCCTTATTATCTACGTCCTTGTCTTGTGCGTTGCTCGGACGTCTCTTTTTCTGATCCTTAACACCTGTCTCTTCATGGCCCTTCTCGTTTCTTGCACCAACGTCTTGCCAGTTCATTGGGCTGTGTTATTGCTGGTATCCCAGTGTTATCACGGCGCGCTCCTCGCCTCACACACGTCAGTCTTCATCATCGATAACTTACACTTCTGTGAATGATTCCTTATCTGGGTTTGTGAAGGTTATTATAGTGGCCAAATTAACGTAAGTAATCAGTGTTTCGCTGTGCACGAAGGCTCCCGGTGTTACCCTCGTGAGGTAC